AAAAATGAGGATAAATTCACACACAACCCACCCACATTGCACTACAAGTCACTTTGTAACCGGCTTGTGGTGCTCTGGTATAATTGTGCCTATAAGACCGCTCTGATCACACGCGAATTATTTTCACAATATCGGATCTATCTAAACCTAAAGACTGTTTTCGGTACTTTTGGAAAAAAAAATGGTGGTCCGAACGTATGTTATGTAAAGAATAGTTGCGAACCAGCTGTGTAACATTATAAGTCGTCCCCTTGTGGGATGTAGCTTTTCCTCATTTTGAAGCCCCAACCTGACTGTTGCAGGGGGCCCTAATATAACCTAACGGTTGAACGGGGTTTCCAGGACCAACCATGGGTGATCCTCATCCGCATGGTGGCACTTTGTGTCACCGGGTGTTTACCGCTCTGTGTGATGTCCTGGTGGGGTACAACTTACTAGCTGGGTCTCTTACCGATACCCCTAGCCAAACCAGGAGGGAACTGATAGCAGAACACATGGGAGTACAAAAGGACAAAATAATAAGAAGGATGAATCAGACGGAGGGTGACCCATTTGGAGAACACAATAAAGACAAAGATTAGAGGAACACTTTGGAACACAGACAAGAAGGAGAAGTCTAGTTATTAGGATGGGAACATTAGGCCAGGAAGCTGCCGTATATACCTAAAGCTTAGCCAGCAAGTGGCGCAAATAAACCAGATCACAAATATACCCGGAGACTGTTGGCAGCGAACATCAGGTTTAACGTGGTCAAGTTTATGTTTTTTGTGTGTGTGTAGAATTGATGATGGTTATAATATAGCTGTGCTATATAGTTATACAGATGAACGCAGTTTCCGTGATTTGTAGATGTCTGAGTTTCATCCTTAAAACGTCTATCCTAGGAAGCGTTAATCTTGAGAGAGAGAGAGAGAGAGAGAGAGAGAGAGAGAGAGAGAGAGAGAGAGAGAGAGAGAGAGAGAGAGAACATAGAGAGAACATAGAGAGAACATAGAGAGAGAACATAGAGAGAGAGAGCATATAGAGAAGAGACAGGGAGAAGAGACAGGGAGAGAAGAGAGAGAAAAGAGAGGAAGAAGAGAGAGAGAGAGTAGAAGTGAGAGAGAGAGAGTAGAAGTGAGAGAGAGAGAGAGAGAGAGAGAGAGAGAGAGAGAGAGAGAGAGAAATGATTTAATCATATAGCCATATTTATGACTCAGCTTGTTATTCAATAATTTGTTTAAGAGAGGGCCGACAACTCTAATCGGTTACATCGACGGGAGCTCACCCATGACTCTATGATTAACTTTCCTCGTCTTGTCTGTAGTTTGTATACATTCATGGAACGTGAAATGACGAAGACGCCACTTTACTGCTGAAACCAGATTCTGAAAATCTTTTAAGTGCGATTGATTTGTAAGGTAAAAGCAAATTGGTTTAATTAAAGACCGTTCGTTATAGCTTGTCCAACACACTACACACGCTGACATAGTCATATCATATCTTCACTCAGTAGTAGTCAGTAGTCTGACTAGTAGTTAAGTAGTCTTACTAAATCTTAGTCTTCTTACAGTTACTCTCTTGTGTTGGATGGAATCTCAATGAACCCCGTCTATCTATACCAGTGGTTCCCAACCTTCCTAACGCCGCGACCCTGTAATGCAGTTCCTCATGGTGTGACAACCTCCAACTCCAACCATCATACAATACAATTATTTTCGTCGCAACTTCAAAACTTTAATGAATTTGTGTTTTGCGATGATCTTTGGCAACCCCTGTGAAAGGGACTGGGGCTAGAATCATATTATTATACTATTAAATACCCATATGTCTTGCTTGCTAATACTAGCAATGCTAGTGAAGTTTTATATATTGCATTTTTAGGCTATCATCTGAATAACGGGCACATATTATGGCGGTCCAAAAAACACCCTAACAGGGCCTCAGTCACATGTCATTTGCGGACTTCCAGCGACTTAAATTGCGCATTTCCGGCGACTACCACAACCACCGAGAGTATCTCCCTCATCGCTACGTGTGGCGTGGATTGGAGCTAAACTAGATGGCTGGGACTCACGAGCAGCAGCCTCCGCATCTCCTGCAGCTTTGCTCGTGAGTCCCAACCATTTAGTTAAGCCCCAATCCACGCCGCTACGTGCGGCGTGGGAGATACTCTCGGCGGTGGCGGCAGTCGCTGGAAGTGCGCAATTTAAGTCACCGGAACTCCGCAATTGACATGTGACTGAGGCCCTGTTTTTGGCCGCCATAATATGTGCTCGTTATTCGAAGGATAGCCTATTGTTACTAATGAAACTAACACAGCTGGACAGAGATTAAGGCTTTCCTCCGAATAACAGTACCAAATTATCGGTGCCGAAAATATACCCTAACCGGGCCTCAGTCACATGTAAATTGCGGACCTCTTCTGGCGAATACACAGCATACTGCCGAGAGTATCTCCCGTGCCGCTATGCACGACTCCGAGCAAATAAAATAACTCGGCAGAAGCTTTTTTGCGGTACACTGTGTAGTTGCTGGAGCTTAACATATCCAATTCAACAATACCTTAATGAAGCCTGTAAGTTATTTCTAAGCAGAGATGTGAACATTTAAAGAGGGATACCACCATAGCTGACAAAAGATGGATTCTGAGTTGCGTCCCAATAAAATGTAGGGATGAAATAACTAAATGTTTGCATTTTTTAAGCTATAAATGTTTTGTTTCTTAGCGAATTCCTTAGCACTTAAACACCAGTGTAATCGGGACAGTGAGGCCTGAGTGTAGATGCATTTCTTAAATATATATATTGCAAAAAGGACCTAATTAACATGTATAAATGGCCCCCAGCTGACTATTTTTTAGTGAACACTGTATGAATTTATGGTTATCTGCCAACGAGCCTGGCAAGATGTATTAGGTGAGCTGATAAGGTGGGCATGCGGATCACATACAAAAATGCTGATATCAGCCGACGAGACATAGTTAACGTATAAAAATGGCTGCCAGCTGACTATTTTAAAGTAAAGACTATACATTTATAGTTATCTCCTAATGAGCCGGGCAAGATGTATGCCATATTAGACGGGCTGATGAGGCGGACGTAAGAATCATAAAAATGGGTCAATACAAGGTAACCTGACCTAATTTACATATAAAAATGGCCACCAATTCATTTGTTTTTCAGAAAGCACTAATAGTTAAAACCCGCTTAAGGTAAAAAGTATCTACTTCATTGCACTTGGTTTTACCCTATAGGGCTTGATCTCTCTTTGTGCACGGGCTAGCTACCTGTCGAGAACGATGCACAAAGTTTAATCTCCATAGCTCTGGCAACAATTCCCAGATCCTACAACTTTCAGAGCATGAGTTGAATGGCTTTAGCCACCATGTGTTCTGCCTTTACTGCATAGTTTTAACTTGTTTGGCAATGTTTTAATGGAGCAGTTTGTTAAACATTTGTGGATGCTATTTTACTTACAGTAATTAGAATTTACGCACTAAAAATAATAGCAGTATATCACAAACATCAGAAAGAGACAGATGTCACTTATCGGCCATATTTTAAGATCACCGCCTTCCTTTTTTTGTTCTCCCTGCACAGTCTTTTCAGATGAGAAGGCCACAGGCTGATGAAGGCTCCATAGCCACAGCGTTCAAGATTTATTTGTTATATTGTGAAGTTTGCTGGTATACTTTTCCTTCAGTTTTATATCTTTTTGGGAAGGATGTGGTGTGATATATGGTCTCCACTGAGCCATACGGCTAGGTTTCAACAAGAATGTCCACTCACCAGACCATGGATCTCTCTCTTGAGTATTCTGGGTTGCATGAGTGCCCGGTCTTGATTTTCCTTCCGGCCTAAAATGGAAGATAAAGCAGTGCAAAAAATTAAGCTTTGAAGTAATTTTTTCATTTTTGACAGTGCTTTGCTAATGCAGTTTCCACATAAGGATAGAAGTCTGCGGTTTCTCTGCCTGAGCTACTCAGCTTAGTGCTTGGTGCAGCTGGTGAGCTGTGTTTTCCTGTGAAATGCCTTTAATTTGTGCAGCGGTTGTGTCGTGGTATTCAGTATGGCTGGTTTAGGTATGAGCTGGTGAAATACCTTCTATGTGTGTATAGTAGCCAACTTATCGTACCCGACTACTTCCTGAATGACAAATTGCATTTCTGGTGGCATCTGTTGGCTTTGGCGCCTCTAGCAACTGATATTTGTATTTACAGTGTGCACATATTTCTGGATTGTTCTGGGATCCATTTTTTGGTCACCAGTTTTTCAAATGTGACAGTGAGGGACATTTCATTTGATTTGCACTGGCACAGGAACGGAGCAGGTGTGGGGAAACCCAGTTGCAGTGAAGTTGAAACCTCGATAATGACTAAGGCTAAGAATTCCCTTTCATGTGAGGAGGTTATTAGGGTCATCAGGAATGTATTCTGGATAGGAAGTGTTCCAATGGATTCTAATGGCTGCCTGTAAAACTGGAACATCTTGTAACAAACTGACAAATTAATGGAAAGAGATGTATAGAAAGACATTGAGAGAGAATTCTCGACATCTTTTGACATGACGTAGAGGGGTGTCAACACATAAACTGATTCATTCTGTTGGTGGTCTGAGCTTGTCGAAAGGTATTTATCTCCCATGACAGTCAACACAGTACTTGGTATTAATAATTATTATGAGTAATGTGGTGATAATAATGATTATAAGTAAAGTGATGATAATGATGATTATGAGATAAATTATGACAATAATGATTATGGTTATGGTTAAACTGATGATAATGATTCTGACAAAAGTGATAAGTTTAATGATTAAGAGTAATGTCATGAAAATAATGATTATGAGTAAAGGATGATAATGATATTTATGAGATAAATTTTAACAGTAATGACTATGAGTAAACTGATGATAATAATGTAATAATTATGAGTAAAATGATGATATTAATGATTGTATCTAGAAATACGTACCTATTGCTTTCATGCGTGTATTTTGTGTTTGCTTACAGAATCCAAGATGGCCGCTCCGGTGACAACACTGGTGGAGGAGGAGGAAATTATTCAGTACCTTCATCCATACTTGCTCACCTTGAACTATGAGAAATATGCAGTCAAGCTGCTGGTCATATTCACAGCCCTGCTATTGTTTTCTACATTGTTCTTGGTGTCGTGGATAATATTTTCCCCACTAGCAGCTTTCAGGAGCCTCCGGATCAAAGAGAAAATCTTTTGGAATCTGGCAGTTGTGAGGGCTGTATTTGGAGTAGCAGCAAGTGTTATAGGTAAAAAATTTTATTCAAAACAATATTAAGGTAAATTTGCCTAGTATATTTCTCCCTGTCTCATCAGTTGCATTGCTACATATTGCACAATTTTTGCCTAGTATATTTCTCCCTGTCTCATCAGTTGCATTGCTAAATATTGCACAGTTTATTGCCTAGTATATTTCTCTCCTTCTCATCAGTTCCATTGCTACATATTGCACAGTTTATTGCCTAGTATATTTCTCTCCTTCTCATCAGTTGCATTGCTACATATTGCAGAATTTATTGCCTGGTATATTTGTATCTCATCAGTTGCTTTGCTACATATTGCAGTTTATTGCCTGGTATATTTCTCTGTATCTCATCAGTTGCTTTGCTACACATTGCAGTTTATTGCCTGGTATATTTCTGTCTCATCAGTTGCATTGCTACAAATTGCACAGTTTAGTGCCTGGTATATTTCTCTGCATCGCTTCAATTGCATTGCTACATATTGCACAGTTTATTGCCTGGTATATTTCTATCTCATCAGTTGCTTTGCTACATATTGCAGTTTATTGCCTGGTATATTTCTATCTCATCAGTTGCATTGCTACTAATTGCACAGTTTAGTGCCTGGTATATTTCTCTGCATCGCTTCAATTGCATTGCTACATATTGCACAGTTTATTGCCTGGTATATTTCTATCTCATCAGTTGCATTGCTACAAATTGCACAGTTTATTGTCTGGCAAATGTTGATGTATTTGGTCAAGTGCAAAACTGAAAGAATTCATGTGTTACTTTTCACTGTATATTGATGTACTTCTATAGCAATGCACGGGATGCAATACAAGGTCTCATCGACTTACGACGAAGTTCCGCTATAACTAACAGGGTGTAGGTTGAACTGATCATAAGTTAGATTTATATTTTTCACCACTATTTTCTTTCAAACGGGTTATAAAAATGATATATAAAACAGAATCAGTTCTATTTTTATAAGTATAATTAGACCTTAAAACATTTTGATCTTACCAGTGATGTTATCTTTCCTTATTTGATGTTATCTTTCCTTATTTGATATCTTTCCTTATTTTATGTTATCTTTCCTTATTTGATGTTATCTTTCCTTATTTACTATTTTTATTTACTTGTGGTTGTAAGTGTGGATGGTCGTGAGTCACATGACTCGTAAGCTAAGGAGAAAGTTACAACAAAATATGCCAGTGATAAATTGTATAATACATTATGTCCTCATTATTAACATGATTTTATGTTACTTTTTCCACTTGCCATCCGGCCTGGGTGATCATGTTTTTTTTACAGCTTTTAGAGTTTGTAAAGGATCACTAACTTTCGGTCCCAGATAGTGCTGAAAAAACAGTGTCTGTGCTCACGTTTTTGTATCCTATAGCAGCAATTTTGAAGTCTCATAAAGCTTACAAATACAGCTTTGTGCAAGACTGTTATAATAACTGGAAAATAAAGTGTTAACCTAAGACAAGAGTCGAATGGGAACAGAAAAGAAGTGTGTACTATATGTAGTATAACAAATAAACATAATGATGAGTCCCTTGGTACTAGAAGAGCTAATGGTACCTGGACAGTTTTTCCATCTCTGGCAATCACCTGACACTGGATCAGGTCAGTGTTCTTGTTTCGCTTATACATTTTATTCCACCATATAGATATTTAACATTCTGTTTTCATCTTACTATTTTTCCTGATAAGATTGCCAGCTGTTACCTAAAGTTTTCATGGTTATTTTGCTGCATAATATGTATGATTTTTCTAATGTGAATGGCTTTTGTCTTTTTCTTGAAGAACTGCTTCATTTTTGGGGGGGATCTCTATCCATATTTCATCTTAGATTTGCTCCAGAAAGCACCACCACCACCACCACCAAATGTTTCTCAGCTCATCTGCTAATTGTCTACGTTTTACATGCATACAACAATACAGATTCTGTATTTTCAATTTTTGTGTCTGCATGCAGCTTAGAGAAGGCATTAAACAATTTCATGATCCTCAAGTGTAATTTATCTGGGGATCTGGGTCCCATTGGTGGTGGGGTGTGCAGTTAAACCCACTGCTTCCTAACAAAAAAGTTAGTTGCGTATCCTTTACGGGACTTTGCAATACCAAGCCCAGCATTTTTTGGCTCTTGTAGTTTTTGAGAGCAGAATTGGCCAATCAAAGGCAGCTCTTCAGAAGATGAAAAGTATTTTATGTAATAAATCACTCTCAATAAACATCAGATAAAAAGTATTTAAATGTGATATCGAGCCTTTGGAAAGATCACTGGTAGAAGAGACCAAGAGAAATGATGGTAGATGGAGGAATACCATCGGTAGAATTTATCCAGAACACCAAAGACCAAGATCTGTGGCGACACATGAAGGCCTTGATGATGATGTGGTTTTTCTAGGCACATTTTACACTCAGTAGTTGCCATTGCTTTCTGAATGGTCAGCTATTGGTACCACTGTCGAAACCAACGCAAGACAAATCGTCCGCAGCTGGGATCGAACTTGGCATCTCAGCATTATGAAGCACATTTGCAACGCCTAAGTCACAGACGCTCACTAACACGCATATAAAGTCAACTAAGTAGGGATGTTCCTGTTAAAGTGGAAGTGCATCTACCTGAGAGACAAGGAACTAACAGTTAGTATACAGATAAACCAGATCTGTAAAATGGGTATGCATGCAAGTTCTGGGATAAGACTAAAGTTCAGAAGTGGATGAACAACCAGAACTTTCTGTTGGAATTTTTTAAACTCTAAGATAAAAAAGATTTCTGCAACACTTTACTTTAAAAAAACACATGCACACACCCCAAAACAACACTTTTTGGATAGTACCGCAAACGGTGGAATGATGGTATCAAGAGAACAGTCGGCACAGAACCAATCCTGAACTTTATAGGTAGACAACAAATGAAATGGTTTTAGCCATGTAACAAGACTGGCATCAGACAGGGCACCACAGAGAACAATGTGATATAGATACAGCAATATCAGAGGTCAACCATGCAGAATATGGACCACAAAAATAACAGAGACAATAAAAAGTACTTTATACGAAGTGAACAGAAGAGCTTGTTCCAGAGATCTCTTCCTGTCCTGTCGCCGCGAGGCATTCCAGGAGTAGGAAGAAGAAAAAGACGACAAAAATTGCAGCATCAAAGCGACTGGGGCCTTGTCCCATAAAAATAATTAAAGGTCCCTTGTCCACGCCTTCAGTCATATTTTGAGCATATAGAGCTAGGCCTATATTTTAGAGACCAATCGTCACTTGATGGGTGATATGGTCAGCCACCTTTTTCCCCTGGACTTTACCTGTACCCGCGCAAGGCTAGGTCGACCTGGAGCCAAGGTAATTTTTTAAGAAAAAAACCTGGCTCCATCGGGATCTGAACCAATGACCTCCCGATCTGCAGGTGAGTATCTAGCCGCTATATCACGGTGGCTACCGGCCACACCACATATTTCCAAATATAGCACCAAGCGCACGGTAGCCAAGCTTCATTATAAAATGCCACTCAATTTTAATTTAATTTTTTTTCTAAGTGACATACAGTTTTGTCTGCTGTCATTATTTTTATTTGCTTTCTTTAGGCTCAGTGCAGTAAAAACATTAATTCCTAATTTTTTTATTTCAGGTGCCTGGACCATATTCACGCACACAAACTACCACAGAGATATTGTCTTCGGACAGACAGCTACAGGCTCATTCACCATGAACGCCACCATTGGATTCTTCTTGTTTGAATGTATCGCTCTGATTACCTCCGATATTATTTTCCACTCTTTTAGCTGCCTTCTGCATGTCCATCACATGTTTTGCACCATTGTTGCAGCCGTGGTTACGCTCTCAGAAGCTGGATACAGCTTGAGCCTGATGTCCCTTTCCCTGGAGATGAGCACTCCGTTCTCTGCCGTCTGCTGGATTCTCTTAAAATCTGGCATGGGCAGTACAAAGTACTGGCTAATTAACCAGATGATTCTACTGCATACATTTCATCTGAGGTCTGTAGTCGAGTGCTATATATGGTGGTTGACTTTCAAAGAATGGAGCATTATTTGGAAAAGCATGCCTTGGATTACCTTTGTGACCGGTTACACAGCCCTGGCTCTTTTCACTTTTATCGCTACACCGTACTGGGGTTATAAGAAAACTCTACAGCTTGCCAATCCGGTGGACTGGAATTTTGAATCAAATGCAAGGAATCCTGTACAAAATGGGCACACAACGAAACTTGAGTAACTATTTCTGTCTCAAGCTATGCACAAATGGCTGTCTTTGCGAATGAAGCAAATTTTAGTACTGTATTTTTTTACTTTTAGTCAGAGTATACTATCCTGATTTACAGATGTGAATCATGGACATTTAGATGATTAGTGGGGAAAAAATTCTTTACAAGCTGCGGAGGTATTGTTTTATAGATGCATGATGAGAATACCCTAGACAGGTGAACAGAGTAATAAAGATGTCTTGAAAAAAAAACCAACTCATGAAGAGAACTAACTGTCCACATCAGAAATCTAAAATCTAAATTCTTTGGTCATGTCATGAGAAGAAGAAAACTGGAGTATATCGTGACTGTGGGAAAGCTGGAAAGAAGAAGAGGCAGAAGTAGACCAAGATAACAGATGCTGGACAGTTTGGCATCATGGCATGGAAGATCACTTGTGTCAGAATTGATTGAAAGGAGACAAGACAGAAGATTGTGGATAGGCATGACTAATAGCACCACACGGCATGGACTATAAGAAGATACTCGGTCTCAAATGGTTAAATTGATGGCTTTCCTACAACATCTTATTATACAAGTGTTGAGTTTTATGTGAGTTTTTAAAAGTGTCCATGTTTGACATGTGTAGCAGAGTGTTAGCATTCACTGTTGATTGTTATTATTTACACCTTTCTGTCTTTCCAGACATAGTGTTATATTTTGTTGTACGGAGGTATTGAAATCACTAGTTAGTTAATTAGTTAGTTAATCAACAGATTATCCTCATTACACATCGGACAACTCCATAAGCGCTCTGATCCCAACTTCAGTATATCCCTCAGCGTGTGGCGACTGATAGCACCTGTTCTGTGTTGGTTTACTATTCTTCTTTGGCTACCTGTACAGTGTTCATGTCTGACGACACCTCTTTTGACCTGAAGTTCTTGTTGTCTTTTGAGCGTTACCGATTTAACGTCGATGCCTGAATCATCTTTTTGTTCCACCTCCTTGAGAGCATTAAGAATGTCTGCCCAGTCCATTGCTTTTCTTGTACCTGCCATGGCCGTGCCAGCTAGTCAATCCGCTCATTCATTCCCTCTTACACCAGTGTCCTGGCACAAAATGAAACTAATTCCTATCAGACAAGATTTCCTCCGTGACTCCAACCATTTTCTTCGAATCCATCTTGTTTGTAGCTTCTCTTGCACTCCTGCAAGTCCCAGACAGTATATCCATGTGACTCTCTGCAATGTTGGCTATATCCACGTGACTCTCTGCAATGTTGGCTATATCCACGTGACTCTCTGCAATGTTGGCTATATCCACGTGACTCTCTGCAATGTTGGCTATATCCACGTGACTCTCTGCAATGTTGGCGTACTGATGCATGGTATCCACTCATGCCACATTAGTTCATTTTGAATCTTCCACAACGCCGACTGAGAATGGGACACAAACATTCCTCTGGTAACTTTGTTTTCTGCTAACCACTTCAGAGCTGCAGTGATTGCCTCCACTTCCATTCTCATGCTTGTCGTTGTAGATAAAAAAGCTCCATTTTGTTCTGCCACAGTTTTTTCCTTCATTCTAGCTGAAAATCCCCAGCCAGATCTTACACCACAATGAACAAAACCATAGGTGTACACTACTACATCATCTAGCCCAGTCTTTCCGTCTATCAGTTGTTGTACCGCTAATTCTGCCACTCCGTTACGCCACTCTCTACGTTCTCTTCCTAACGTGATAATGACCCGATGGAAACTGCTGTTGTGGGTGTTCGTGTCAACCCATTCCTGCCCCCTGGGTCTTTGCTTGACCGAGGCTGCTGTCTTGATGGTATCTTCAGCTAGTGCCATCAATGACTTTCCTATTTTTCAATCGATCTCCTCTTAAATCGTTCAGATTACCATGCAGCTGATGCCTTTCATCATTGGTAACTCGCATATATGCCTTGGCTTGCGTCTAAAATTGACCGATGTCAGCCTAAGTATATACCTCATTGTTCTAATTGGGATATCTTGTGTACAACCCAAGACGATTCTCATTCCTTCATTTTGAATCCTTTCAAGCTGAAATCTTTTTCTCAAAGTCAATGCCATGTGGCGTTGGTAGTCATGTCTGTCCCCAACCTTCTGTCTTGTGTACTTTTAATCGACTCTGACACAGATGATCCTTCATGTCATGATGTCAAACTGTCCAGCATCTTGTTTTTCTGAAGTAGAGTTAATATTCCTAGGCCATAATTGATTACAGAAAGGACCAAATGGTTGAACAGTAAGACCAATAATCTCTGTTCCATGTGTGTCGCTACCATCGTCTTCAGTGCTGCCAGGCCATGCTTGCATTTCATCACAGTTTGCTCCATGTGGTTTCTGTAGGACAGACTGCGATCCAACATCAAACCGTCTAAGCTTATTTCTTCTTTTAACATTATGGGTATGTTGGGCAAGTCTTCCTTTCCAATGTAATAACAATTTCTTGCTACTGATAAACATGCAGTAATCAACATATAGTGTTTCTTTGTAATGAAAGAGTAATCATACAGAAAGTAATAAACCTATAGTGTCTATTAGTACTGATGAAGTAAATATGCAGTAATTAACAAACATATAGTAATTAATAAACATAAGAAGTCTGTTGGTACTGACAGAGTAAACATCTAGTAAAAAGTAACACAGGGATTTCTTTGTACTTAGAGAGTAAACATGTAGCACATATGTAACAGTGTATTTGCCTCTTTGCAAGTCATACATTCCTCCATTGTACATAAAGGTTGAAGTCTCCTTGGGCTATCTGCTGTGAAATCTGTGTTTGTAAAATACTCAGACTTAAATAATACAGTGTTTTCCAATAAAATAAGACCGGGTCATATTAAATGTCACTCTAAGAGACAACTTAGGGCTTATTTTTAGGGGATGTGCTATTTTATTTTTATTTACGTTTTCACTTTACGGATACTTAGTTAAACTGTATATAATCAGTTATTTAAAGCATTGGTGTCAGTATTGTTAATTGTTTTAAGCATTTATTAGTTCAGTACATCTATAATGTGTTTCAGTGGATGAAAAATCTTTCTCTGTGGCCGACGTTCTTATCTAGGGCTATTAATTGGAGGAGGGCTTGCATTATGAACGTCCTGAAAAAGTCTGGGGTTTATTTTCTGGTTAGGTTTTATCTTTAGGAAAACACAGTATATCCTAGCAGAAAGTCATTTTATGTCTATTGTAAATACATTTGTTTTGTAGTGTTTGTTGTGGGTATATTTGTTTTAGAGTGTATATTCTAGATATATTTGTATGTTATGGTTTATATTGTAGTAAAGTTAAACTGTATAATACACAGATCTGTAGTTTAATTTTCTTCATGGTTTTACTGCAGTGTAAACAATTGTTAACACAATGTGCAGTGGCATTTTACTGTTATACCTAACTGTAATGTGGTACAAACAACAAGTGTAAACTGTTGTTAACACAATGTGCAGTGGGATTTTACTTTTATACCTAACTAATGTGGTACAAACAAAAAGGGTAAACAGTTGTTATTACTATGTGCAGTGGGATTTTACTTTTATACCTAACTAATGTGGTACAAACAACAAATGTAAACAATTGTTAACACAATGTGCAGTGGGATTTTACTGTAATACATAATTGTAATGTGGTACACACAGCTTAACAACCTAACCTCAGAGAGCAATTTATTTTTTTGTCAGCCTGAAATAAGTTATCTTTATCTGCAGTTTTGTCTCTTATTTAGTTTCACTGTCATTTTTAGTTCAGTCAGTGGCCCGTAGAGTTTACTTTCCACTCTTGTTCTTTGTGACTAAAATAGGTCATATTTGGGACAATCTTGAAGTATGTGGGAGCGGCGATAGTGTAGTGGCTAGGTGCTCGCCTGCAGATCTAAAGGTCATTTTCCCAAAAAATGGTCCTTGCTTCCAGGTAAATCCATCCTTAAATGGGTACCAGGTAAAATCCTGTGAAATAACAGAGTGCCCATTGGTCTATAAAATGTAGGTCTAGTCCTCTATGCCCAGTATGCCTGAAGGCGTGGCAAAAGGGCCTGTTACTTTACTTTCCACCTGAAGTATGTGTTATGCTGTCTGGGGTGATGTGCCACATGTGCGCTTGACAATACGCCAGTCTTATCATTAGTCTACATATGGCTGTGTAATCGGTTGTGCCTGGTTCTGAGGCACAGAATAATGACATGTTCTGATCTGTCCTTGATATGGTAGCCATCTTGTATTGGGGTTGGTAGTTTTCCAACCCATTTAATGATCCTTTTCTTCTGGACAGGTAGCTTAATTTCAAGCATAATGTCAAAATTCACTTTCTACACCTTAAGACACTAGATATTTGGATCTCTTCCAAAGTTTCCTGTTAATGCTTCTGTCATACTATTTTAATTCCCTTTATTTTGTCCAGGGACCAGTCAATGAATGTTTATAGTTTATTAGTAATTATTTTACAGCTACAGACTTCAGTCATCGGGTTAAGAATGATATTTAATGTTAAAATGCTCTGACATATTATGTGTTAAATGCACATATCTGTTGCCCATTCTGTGTTTTTCATTACTTTAACATTAAAATAGTTTTTATTGAATTAATGTATCTTATTGCAGTACCAAAAAAAAAAAAAATGTCAGTTGTAAATCATTTATGGGAACCAAACCACATTAAAAAAAAATCAGTTTGGGATTTCACTAGGTAATGTTTATGTTTGGTAGTTTACAATTGCTTTCTGTTGGCTGTCAGTACCACTGCTGAAATCATTGCAAGGCAGTCTACTGCCAGATCGACCCGCAGCAGGATAAAACCTGACACCTCGGAACTATTAAGTGTGTTCGCAAAGATTAAACCACAGATGCCAGAATTTTTGTGTTTTTAGTTTTTTTTTTTTTTTTTAAACAACATTTTAGAGTTATGACACGTTATTTGTCCATATTTAAACTGAAAAAGCATGTTCACATCACACACTATTGAACTCGTTTCTCTCCGCTAAATAATTAGGGTCTTCTTCTTCACTTC